ATGAGGGAATTTGTGGCAGGTGATGCTGGCTAGGATGAAGGACACAAGAAACTACTTCGCAATCAAATGCCTTCGCAAGGACAAGATTGTAGACGATGAAGACGTCGAGGATACCCTGATCGAGAGGAAGATTCTGACCCTTGGAACCAATCACCCATACCTGTGTCATTTATTCTGCACTTTCCAGACACCGGTAAGTAGCCGAGCACCAATTTTATATGTAAACTGTCAATTTTCGCACACCCGTTCCCTCGGTGACTAAATCCATGGAATTCTACAGTCACAAAAGACAAGGAGCAATCGCTGTGGTTCCAGTTCCAATAAAGCCAGCTGCGTTTCTTTGACAAACGAAAATGTCGCCTTTTGGCCGTAGCACGCCGTAGCTGTCATCACAAAAGTACAGCGGTGTCGTTTGGATGACAAAAGCAAGCATGCAAACTTAGCTCACTGATTCGCAACGAGTGCGACAAGAACGCTTCGCACTCAGTACCGCCAACTTCGTTGCAGTCGAACCTGTTCTTCGTGCTGGAGTTTCTGAATGGGGGAGACCTGAACTTCCACCTGGCCCAGATGGGTCGGTTCAGCACGGAGCTGGTGCGGTTCTACGCCAGCGAGCTGGTCTGCGGACTGCGCTTCCTGCACAAGCGGGGCATCATTTACAGGCGAGATCTCCTGCCGGCCGCTCCAGGGCTGCTCCTGCCCGCCAGGCTCGACGCATGCGATGACGCCTCCCAGTGGCTGTCTGGTTCAAGGAATACACAAACATGTCGCGTGATCAGTATCTCTTTACGTCAAAGAGCGCACAAACGTGCTATGCATGCTGCTTTAGCGCTGCATCTGTAGCCGCATGCGGCGTCCGTGGACGACCTGAAACTCTCATGAAAACCGGGCCAAAACAATCTACGATGTGGCTTTCACTGTTTTATGTTTTAAGAAAGGCGTTACGATGCACCTGGACTGGCTGGCACGCAGGATAGCCAAATGTTAAAGTTATGCCTTGTATGTGTCACGGAAACGTTAGGTTGTGAGCTAACAAATGTCGTGCAGATAAAAGACTGGTGGAAAGGGATGGCCTTCATCACATGTCACGGATGGTGGTTTTGAAAACCTTCGGAATACTGATAATGCTTAGTGACGACGGCAAGTTATTCCCCGCATAGTTTGCGCGATATGAAAAGGCAATTCGGGCCGCAGTGATCGCTTACGGACGTAAGGGTTGCCCCTGTCAGGAAAATGCGTTTCACGCTAGAACTCAGTGGCACTTTCTGTAAACAGCGCCTAGATCTCAACAGACGCAGCTTTCCCCGGTAATACCCTGATAACCTTGACTGCGTCACGGTGCGTCACCAGGATCTCGATCTTCGGCCATCCAAGAGGATTTAGAGACGGGTTAATGGTTAGATGTTTTTAGATGCAGTACTGATCCCAGCCGTGAAAATGACAACGTGTGCATTTCGTCGCATAGCTAGCGCTTGGTAGCCCCACCACACGAGCAAAGGCGGCACATGCATGCAGGAATACATAAGCGTGGATAAGAATTTTGATGGCTTCCGTCGATAAGTAGTGTCACAATCTAAAGAAAGAAGCAATGATGTCGCGGGATTGTTGAGCTACACGCATAACGTTTACAGCCAAAACAGGTCAGAGCTTAGCATCTCACCCAGAATTTGAATGTCATTGAAAGCGCACTGTTGCTCCGTTCATAACAGATGTTAAGCTGGTACCTGTTCATAGTTTTTTTCATCCACCAACCAGGATAGGAGCCGTCGATACACTTCATTCGTTCTGTTTGACATTTCTAACCCTCTTTCTTTGAAGCACGCGCTAGTTACGCTGATCGAGAATCTGTTTCCCCGGCTACGCCATCATGCTTTTTTATTCAGCAAGACTTACAGCTAGACCAGAGTGTAATGCTACTCTGTTCAAAACCCATTTTCCTCGTCACGTTTCACCCATACGCCATCAACGTCCCATGCGTAATATACTGTGCAGACGGTCCTAAATGTTTTTTTTCATTCATTTTGAGATGGTTAGCGCCAGACAAGGACCAAAGCTACTCGAGGTGAGCTGTCTGTTCTTTGAGCGCGTCAAAAGGTCCGGCCCTCCGCGTATGTCACGCACCGGGGCTCACGGTATAGGCGCAAGTCCATGTCAGCTTATGACATGAGGTGGCCATGGGCCAGATATCTAGATGGGTGATAAGTGAACGAAACGAATAAAAGCGAACCAACGATCGAACCCCGAGACATATTGCAGGACATCGAGAGAGCGAGTTGTCCACCGTGAACAATCTCCTTAAGACCATTTAAACCGCGAAGAGATTGTGCACAATCACTGTCGGCTGCACCACGGAAAGACAGCCTGCGGAGGAGCGTCATGGTCGACGCTATCAACACCTTCAATAGACCGATTGTGTCCCCGACGACATCATTTCAATGTCCGTGTTGTTGCCCAGGCGCTCGACAGTGTCGAGTACGGCGTCTTCGGTAGAGTGGCCTGCCTTTGCCCATATGGGATGGGCTCAGTGTCTACCTTTTCCAAAATCCTAGAAAGTACACCTTATAAGGATATGGACTACTGCTGGAGGGCACTGCTGCCGCTGCGCTGCCGCGTCATCAAGGATTGGTGCGAGTTTCGCTGGTCAAACGTCTTACTGAAAGCTGAGGCGAAATATCTCCGGGCGGACGAAATAGCTGTTGCACTATTACACCAAGCCAGCCTTACCGGGTAACGCTAGAGCCTGATAGTGCGCTCAAAGACGTGGTTACATCTGAAGTAAGAACAAGCGTGTCGCGCCACCCGCAGAGACCTGAAGCTTGACAACGTGCTGCTCGATCACGAGGGCCACGTCCGGATAGCCGACTTCGGAATGTGTAAGATGCAGATCTTCCTGGACAGGACGGCCGACGCCTTTTGCGGCACTGTGGACTACATGGCACCCGAGGTAAGCTTGTCGCTCCGTCCGACGCCGGATGGGGCAACGGCGGGCAGGGAAACAAGGGGAAGTGTCGCGCCCCTCCTGGGGGGGGGGGGGGATGCCGGCCTGGGGCGCATGTGAATGGGTAAATGTGTAAACGATATTTGAACAGATGAAACCGTGGACTCGTCAAAGGGAACGGTTGGTACTGTGTCATGGAATCCGAAGAACTGAACATTTATAAATTGTTCATATATTGCTATCATTACAGGTAGTGACCGGTAAGAACTACAACCAGTCAGTCGACTGGTGGTCCTTCGGAATCATGCTCTACGAAATGTGAGTAAGAGTGTGTCTTGGCGATGATGGCGGTAACATGTCAAGAGCCCACCGCTCAATGAACCGCGTCATGAGCTGCACGCAACCGCACGTCTGTTCATAACCAGGTGTTATGATTCGCGCTTTGTCAACACACGTCTGAGAGCAGTGACGGTCTGCCTAGAATGTATTACGGGATTTCGTGAGCTTCGACGGCGGTCCGTGGCCGTGCCAGACCGGGGTTTTTGTGTGAAAGCGTTTCGCGCCGCAGCCAAGCCAAGCAAACGTTTCCGGTGGCTCTCGATGGGTGGTGGTCGGGATTGACTCGGTCTGACTCTGCGGCGATGAGTGCAAGCTTCGAAGTCAGCCTGAAATCTGCTTGGGATGATGATGCTGCCTGCGGCGTCCAGGATCATGCGGTCCGAACAGCTTCAAGCCCGGTGACCAGTGGCATGACGCCTCGTCAGTGCGTCGAACATATGATCCGCACTGTCGATAGTCGCAGCCTCTTTGCATGGTACACATGATAGGTGCTCCCTGGTGCTGGCGGGTTTGCCGATGCGCTGCTGGCTGTACCTGCGCCAGCCCGGTCGGCAGCGCACGCGACACACTTCAGCTGAGCGACGGCGCGCTAGCTGGCCCCAATGTCGCCGCAGGCTGGTCGGGCTGACCCCAGTGTCGCCGCAGGCTGGTCGGTCTGACCCCAGTGTCGCCGCAGGCTAGTCGGGCTGACCCCAGTGTCGCCGCAGGCTGGTCGGGCTGACCCCAGTGTCGCCGCAGGCTAGCTGGCTGACCCCAGTGTCGCCGCAGGCTGGTCGGGCTGGCCCCAGTGTCGCGCAGGCTAGGGGCTGACCCCAGTGTCGCCGCAGGCTGGTCGGGCTGACCCCAGTGTCGCCAGCAGGCTGGTCGGGCTGACCCCAGTGTTGCCGCGGGCCGGTCGGGCTGACCCAGTGTCGCCGCAGGCCTGTTCGGGCTGACCCAGTGTCGCCGCAGGCTGTTCGGGTTGACCCCAGTGTCGCCGCAGGCTGCTCGGGTTGGCCCCAGTGTCGCTGTGGGCTGGTCGGGCTGACTCCAGTGTTGCCGCGGGCTGGTCGGGCTGACCCAGTGTCGCTGCAGGCTGTTCGGGCTGACCCCTGTGTCGCCTCAGGCTTGTTCGGGTTGACCCCAGTGTCGCCGTGGGGCTGGTCGGGCTGAACCAGTGTCGCCGCAGGCTGGGCGGGCTGACCCCTGTGTCGCCGCAGGCTGGTCGGGCTGACCCCTTTCATCGGCCTGGATGAGGACGAGCTGTTCTGGGCTATTCGTACCGAGCAGCCGTACTACCCCCCGCTTCCTGGACGACGACGCCACGGAAATCATCAAATGGGTAACGGAGCTGAATCGTGCATATTCCATATGGTTTTCACCCTTTCTTTGACAGTTAGCCATGTATGTGGATCATTCTGAATAATACCCATCACTGCGACCCTTGGGAGTTTGCATGACTGACATCACCGATCAGGGTTGAGTCTGAGTCTGAGTCAGCTCGCTTTCTTATCTATAGTTTAGAGTTGTAGCCCGAGTGTGGGCACTGTCACAAGCGCCTGTCCTGGTGTAGCTAACGTGTCATCTCCAAATCGTAAAGTGTCTGCGATCGCGAGTAAAGGGCGTTCTGCTCTGACAACGTGCCAGGTTTATAGTTTCAGAACGATTTGGATGAATCGGCCCATTATGCCGCACTGGCGCGGTGACAATAGGCGTTCTATGGACTTACGGATAGGGTTGGATATTCGGCTTTGTCGTCCCTATAGACCTCACTGGTACGACTTCTTTTACCCAATCCGCCCGTCACCCATGGATTTGTGGCCATACCCCCCCCCCCCCCCCCCAGCTACTCATCCCAAATCATTTGTATCACCCGATTCTCCATTCGCTTGCATTTCTTCAGCAATTTGGTTGTAGATGATGGAAAAAAGTCAGTAAACTTTATATGCAATTTACTCTTTGCCAACTTTGATGGTAAGAAAATGGTGCAAATTAGGCTTATTATGGGTAAAATAAGTGCAAGTAGTAACAATGGGTACAACAAATCCACATGCATTTTTGTATACATCGTACTGATACCTGTACCTATACCCGTAATTTCTAAAAGCTATAAATACGCAACCCAACACATTACCCATTTCTCTGGGTTCTCATGAGTTTACGTAAGCCCGTGAGATTTTCTAGTCGTCCCTTAGTCAATGTCATGTGTGGGTTCACGAGATTACTTCAGCGGCCGCAAAAATAAGGCGCGCAAGGGGCAAATTAATATCATAAGTTAAATTTATTTGTTTAGGCATGGTGTGATCATCAACGTAAACGTTGGAACTGAACCATTGTTTAGATCATAAAACTAAGCGTAATCCCTGTACAAATACATCAGACCCATGTGACGTGGTTGGGAAGGCATGGTGCCGGTATTACGTAAATAGTAATGTTACTTGAATTGCGTCGCTAGGCGTCAAGTCGCCAGGCGCATAAGTCACTGCACCTCTCGGTGTGTAGGCCGCTGCAGTACGCGCGTAAGCGGCTGCAGTACGCGCGTGGGCGGCTGCAGTACGCGCGTAAGCCGCTACAGTACGCGCGAAGGCGGCTGCAGTACGCGCGTAAGCCGTTGCAGTACGCGCGTAGGCGGCTACAGTACGCGCGAAGGCGGCTGCAGTACGCGCGTAGGCGGCTGCAGTACGCGCGTAAGCCGCTGCAGTACGCGCGTAGGCGGCTGTAGTGCGCGTGTAGGCGGCTGCAGTACGCGCGAAGGCGGCTGCAGTACGCGCGAAGGCGGCTGCAGTACGCGCGTAGGCGGCTGCAGTTGCGCGTAGGCGGCTACAGTACGCGCGAAAGCGGCTGCAGTACGCGCGAAGGCGGCTACAGTACGCGCGTAGGCGGCTGCAGTGCGGACACATGCAGGCGGGACCGGCGTCGGCAATCGGCTCTGGCAGCGGCAGCTGTAAGCGGGGGCCGGGCCAGCAGGCGCGACCTTCCGGCGCGACGCGCCGAGGGCGACCTGCCAGGCCGGCTGGCGTGCGCACTCGCCGGCTGTTTGTCCTCCGGTGAAATGTTACAGCGGCGCCTGAATGACAGGCCGCCCGGCTGGCTCGTGGCCAGTCGGGGCTCCAGACGACGGCGCTTTTGCCACGCCGTCCGCGTGCCGCCAGACGCGCGTCCCGGCCGCGCGCGTAGTGGCGTCCGTCAGTGACGACACGTCACGGATGTTGATGTGTAGAGCGAGACGAGTCATGCCGTGAGGACGTGATCAGTCCCGGTAGCCAAGCCAGCTGGAATTGGACTTTTCTCGGAGGTGGGTTGTTTGAAGTTATCTTCCAAGAGCTTCGGTTCTGCGAGAATTGGACACACACATCCAAATATTTGCACGTGGTGGAAGTATGAAATTTCCATCACCATCGCTAGCTGCGAAAACTTGGCATTTCTGGAACCTGCCGATAATTGCCGCCTGAGCTAAATTTTTTGGCGCGTGGTGTGTAGCTAGTGGCTCGGTGAGCGTGGATGGCCGGGTGTTTGGCTTTGTTCAGCGGTTTACGACCCTTGGCCGGCAGCTGCTGGTGAAGGACCCGACGCTGCGGCTTGGCTCCGCCGAGTGTCCGGCCGGCGGCGTCTGCAGTCAGCTGTTCTTCAGGCGCGTCGATTGGATAGCCGTGGAGCGGAAGCAGCTCGATCCGCCCTTCAAGCCTGTCCTGGTGAGTCGATGGAGGCCGCCAGTCCGCAAACACTGGAGTTCTGCGATCTCTGTGTGAAAACGCGGAAAGAGCCTGTGCCAGCATGCAAGTGTGCATGGCATCGCCACCTGGTTGACAAATGCAGATACGACTATCGGTTGAACATGTGTCTCGTGTCAGGTTGAAGAGATAGAACGTTAAGACTTAGGTGGAAACTTAACTGTTTGCCCCAATAACTAGACTGCATCTGTCCGGTTTAGATCCAGGGGTAATTTAGTGAAATTCTTCGTCTATTTTCCACTTGAGTTGACTACTTTTGTGAAATTCTGCCATCAGAATCCGCTCGTCATCACCAAAAATAATGTCTTTCAACAGTATGCATGTTCGCTTTATCCACCTGTGAACGAGTTGTTTGTTCAGTAAATCTTGCGACTAATCCTGCCATGAATCACCCTAGAGCTTATGGTGCCGTATTTTGATAGCAATATGTCCATCATAACACTCGAACTCAACGGGAGCCTCGCATGATGGGCTTCGCATAGCACTAGCTCCTTTGGCGATCAGCACCGCCAGCCGGCTAAGCTAGGTCAGGTCGTGCTGAGTTGACCAGGTGATGCACAGCCGGGTGTCGCCCAGGTGCCCCGTCGCCCCGCTGACGGCAGCTCCCGCGTCCGCACAGGCGACCATGGCCGACTGCCGCTACTTCGAGGACCACTACACGACGCTGCCGGCCCGGCTGACGGCCATCAAGGATGACGTGCTGCGGGAGATTCAGCAGGAGCGCTTCACCGGCTTCGACTACACCAACCCCAACATCACCGACTAGCGGTCGCGCCGCGCGGCCCTCGTGACCGGCCCTGCGGCCCTACGCGGGTCCGGATGAGAACTGATACATATGATGACATTCCACGGGTGAGGTGTGCCCCAGCGAGGATGTCGTGGCGCGCCTCGGCGTATGTGAGAAGTTCATATGTCGGATCGCTGTCGGTCTCGCATCATTTCTGTAAAGCTGCGAAACGGAGAAGTGGTGGCGCGTTGGTGGCATCTGAAAACGGTGCAAAAATGAGGCTGCCGCTACTGGCCAGAAACGTTCTCCGTTTGGCCGTGTGGGGCGGAAAATAACGCACTTCCGAGCGTAGAGCATCATTTCGAATGCGTGCAAGATGCTTCGGTCAAAAAGAGCATTCGATAAGAGCTCGTGTAACATGTTGGCGATGACATTGTTTTATCATTAGGAACAAGTAACGAAGGCTGTTTGATCAGGTCTTCTTCGACAAATGAGTCTTTTCAGGCAGTTTGATTCGGTCACTTACCTCGTAAGCCAGCCGTCAGCATGTTAACGTAAAACGAAAGCGCGAGCGTGCGCGCAGTCACGCCGCGCTAGGATACCCGAGTCGGCAATGAGGTTCTCATGTCGCATTGGGAAGATGCCTGCTTCGTCTGTGCCGAACTGTCGCATTGCGTCATGCTTCCCACGTGCGAAATCAGGAAGCCGGTGATGAAATCCTTCCGATGGGGTCGTTCTACGTTACATAGCTGAGATATCTTAGGTGATGTAAAACTATGTTCTGCAACTAAACGATTAACGCAGTTGTGAGATACGTCTGTGATAAATATACGCGTTGACGGGAGCAGTGTCAAAATGTCTGGTCTGGCCGTACACACCAGCGGCTGGGTTGTACCAGATGAAACCCCAGGCACATGGGCAGTGACAGAAGAAAATATGATGAACGCGTGCTACCCATCGTGACATTGACCTTCGGTCGTGCGACGCCTGTTCAGGAACCGCCTTTACCGGTGACCTTTGAGCTGGCGTGGCACGATCAGGTGGCGTGACGCTGCCAATGGCCGCTCGGGCCGACCAGGATTCTCATGTGACGTCATTGAGGGCGACCAACTGCGGCTGCCGCGGAGCAGGGGTCGCGAACGGGACACGGGCGGATCGAGCGGCCGCTGCGACAGGGATCGTGCCAGCAGCGAGAAAGCAAAAGAAAACAAATGCGCTGCAGGTTGGCGGCGCGTCTCACTCTGCGCCTAGCATGGGCAAACTTGACTTCGATGTTTTCATCGTTTGGCAAAGAAGCGAGCCTCCTTTGAACTATCGGCTGCAGTCCCCTCTGAGACCGAGTAATGAGCCAAGGGATTGATAAAACGTGGGATTATGCACACTCTGACCACTCTTAAAAAGAAAGGACGCGGGCAGCGACCCCTCTCCTTAACAACGCGTTGCTGGCGAACCTTCCGCACAAATCTGATTGCTCACGGTCCTCGTATCCATACAGTGCTACCATGTCATCGTTCATCATTGAGGTAAGATTTGCCTTCCGGGGATTCTAGAAGACTGACAGTATTTTTGAGACGAAAAACTATCTTTTCAAACGGCATGCGCCATGACTGAACCGAGACATCCGAACTGCATTGACATTTCGCACGGCTTGGCACGTTGGTCGACAGTTTTAGCCATCCTACGAGATGGCGGTAGAGGATGCCTGTAGATGTCTGATCTATGAGAATTATTTGTTTGTTCCCATTGATCGTGATGTGGGTACACCAGAGTAACCGTAGCAGACCATGCGACGGCCGAAAAACAGGAGGCACGTCCAGTTTTTGAGGAGTTTTTCATGTGTCTTCGAAGACGTGATGTTAACTTGTGGAAAAGTTCAAGGGAATGCTCCACATTTATATGCATAGGGTTTTGAACTGAAATAGCCACATTGAAGACCCTTCAGTGCTGTTCACAATCCTGGCCTTCTAAAGACTTTAGCCTCTCTAGTTTCTGGCTACACGCCCGCGAAAATGTGAAAAGGTATATTGGGGAGAACATTTCAGTGACCTTGGCATTCATGACGTCATAATAACGTCATTCAAATCCTGCTATTCCATAAGTTATGCGGTGACCAAGGCCAAGAAACGTATAATTGTTTAGGCGTTCATATCCGGCGTTCGTGAGCACGATTTCTACGATAACGGCTGTCAATGCGCTCTCAATCAATGTTGTGCAAGTTACCATAACATAATCCAATCATGATACATTGAAGAGCATATTTTCTAATGAGAATTGTGCTGTCTAGAGCAGTTTTTCACTCGAAAAAGTATACCGATGGCTTAAAGTGAGCTTGTTTGATCATATCTGATGCTTGCCTCAATATCTTCAAATGTGAGACAATCCCTTTAAGGATGGGGACGCTCCCCCCCCCCCCCCCCCGCCCCGCCCCCTCCCCCATATGATATATTATCCGGCTACAAGACATAAGAGATTAATTTAAACGCAAGTACTTATGTGCAGAAAGCTTTGGAATTCATATGGAACCGAAAAGTGCATCTGTGTGTTATCCATGACGTTTGCATGTTGTTATATGAGGCATAAATCCTTAGTCAATTCACGCAGACTCTTGAGATTCTTAGTCTGGCCAAGGTCGAAAGAAAAACATTTTCCTTTTAGGATAACAAAATCCTACATAGTAGCCAATGAAAACCTGCAACGTAACGGGCTCATCATGTGAATGAAGGGTATGATTGAATGATAACAGACAGTCTATTGATTACGTTACACACTTTCGATAATTTTAACCTCCTCCTGCTGGTTACCACTGGCGCACTGGGCGAAAACTTTCCTCCCCCTGGTTACGCTGTGGTAAGCGTGATGACCCAAAAACGTATCGTCCGTTTGGCTCCTTACTGAGTAGCAGGCGTGAAAGACAGACAGGTGTGTGTTTGCCATAAAAGAGCCAGCGGTGTCCAGCTTTCAGGGAATAAAACATTTTTTTTTTAAACTAGCATGATCTGCTACCATACTTGGGGAAAACGCTACACTTTCCAGCCCTCCCTCCCCTTGTTACCCCCTGGTTACGTTCCAATAGCCGAAGTGCGCATCACACAAGAAGCCGGTGCATTGTGTATAAACAAATAAGTGGATGTAGAACGTAATGTTGCCATTCAAACAAGCACACATCGGCATCGGTACATGAAAGGACTCTGGCAGCAGCCCATCGCTGCTTTGTAGCACGCTCCGTGCGGGGCACGTCATTACAAAGCACAGCTATTAGGCTAGCAGACGTACCACAAAATGTCACTTGCTCCAATGAATGTAATGGTTGAGCCCAGTCGAAAAGTGCTGATGCACTCATTCGTACCGCATTGTGGCAAGCTGCAAGACCCGTCAAATAGCAAGTGCGCGGCTCTCCATCGTCGCGTCTGGCGCTCTGTCTAAACAGACGCCTGCCGGCTGCGCCCGAAACAGTTTTGACGTCGTCTTTTACCATTGTTGGATTATTTGCTGACGAATGTGAGCAAACGGGGGAAAACAGCGATGCGGAAATGAACCAGCAGACCTCCTACACTGCCGTTGGAAAATCTTCGCGACGTACTTATTTGTGGTGCGTCTTCGCACTTACGAACCACGGGTGTTCGGGGTCTGAACAACGAAAAAGGACAAGATCTGACCCCAAAATACACCACAAATGTTTTTTTCCGATTTGGAACACTTGCTTCTAAATGTGTGGGTGGGAAGTGGAGGGTCCAAGTTTGGGGAGGCTGGAGCCCCCGAACCCGCCCAACTGAAAAGCGAAGTTTTGCATCCGAAATCTTCGTATCTACGTAGTGCATAGCAGGTAAGACATGAAACTTTACTCACCCAAGCATGCCTGCAAAAACAATGTAATGAATAATGCGCAAGAAAATGTGTCGAGAATAGTTGCACAATCTGTGAAGAGATATTTAGGCTGAAGGAATTCTAGTTTGTCGGTTCAATGTCATGCGTAAGATAGCGCGCAGGCCGCGCATGGCTCTGGAATGGCAGGGATGCGCGAGAGTGGTGCAGCGTGACATGCGCGATCTGGTGAACTGGAGAATCGCATGCGGCTTACTGGCTACTTTGCGCCCTACCTGGCTTAGCCGCTTCTGAGTCCCCGAGAATTGCGTAAATTGGATATACGCGATCGATGGAAAATGCATAATGGAAAATGCGATATAAAAATGGGCAAATGTGCTGTAAAAATGTGTGCAGGAGGTATGTAACAGTGAACTGCGAGTAAGGAGCTTGGCTGATTCGAGGTTTTGCGTTACAAAGATTTACCCGCACAAAGCTTTCAGTCCACATATTTTTGCGCTTCCGCAGATTTACGCACGGCGAAACGGTACACAATTATATTCAACTCCACGTTTCGCGCGCGAAGAATGCGAGATGAGATTCTGTACTGCAGCCTCCCCGCACGGCTTGACCGACCGGTGGGCCGCCCCCGCCGCGGTCGCGCGGGCACGGCGGTGGGCGCGGCACCGGCGGGCACCGTCTCCGCGGTCCCGTGTCGCCCATTGTGCTGGTCCACTTCCGAGCTGACACGGGAGCCCCGACTCCGGTCGCCGACGGGTCGGGTCGATTCCGCCGGAGCCGGAGCCGGGCTGGGTCCGTCAGGAAGGGGGGCCACTCAGACCGGTGACGGCCGCCACCTCCTGGCGTGGCCTCGCGCGGGCTCCCGGTGGCCGGCGTGCAGAGTCTGCCCGGACTCGCCAGTGCGGCTTCAGTAACTGACCGGTAAGGCCCGTGCAAGACGTGCAGTGCCTAATGTACTTATGTACTTACGTCCGATGTACATAAGTGCGTACTTACTTAATGTACGATGTACATCTGCCTTGTTTTTGCATTTTTCGTACCCGGCGTGCCAGTCACGCGCAGCATTTTGGACGTAGCAACCAGAGAGGTGCGGAAGCGAGGCACACAAATAAACTACAAGGTTCAGGACACATCAGACATATCGCACAAACGGCGATAGCAATGGCTGCTACTTATGCCTGAATTGATTGCCTTTCCCTATTGTGTTTTTTGTTTTCAACTCGACAAATCCCTGGAAGATTGACGTAAGAAAATAATTCAGACCGGGTGAGCTGGGAAACAGCCGAGGAAATCGGGTGAGGAGGCTAGAGAAGCCTCCTGACCTGAACATGTTAGATTAGATAATGTGCAATGAGAGTGGCCCTGCTGTCTCTAAGAGTTGTGTATCTGTCGAAGCTGCATCAGGTAATCTGTGTAGAGTGAGTGTCGCAGTCTTAGTAACTGGAATGTTACAATTAGTTACAGTAACAGTAACAGTTACAGTAGCAGTTAACGGTTACAGTAACATCTGACCGTTACAGTTACAGTAGCCTTTAACAGTTACAGCAACAGTTAACAAAGAACATGTTGAGCTAAACTGATAAGGCTGCGAAAACTGCAATAAACCAGTGAATTCAACGCGTTCTAACTAAATTTTAAAACGTCAATGTTGTGAATGCCTCTGAGTTGTCTTTCCAATGTGAATATCGCAGATTTGCATAATGTGACATTTCTTTAAGATATATTTCACTCGTCCAACGTTTTAGGGAGTGTTCTGCACATGCATCGTCGCTTGATTGCATTGTAAACATTTTGCCGCCACGTAAATGCAACAATGTTCGAGAAATGTTAAACAAAATGACGCAACCTGCTTGCATTTACACGTTGAGCTCACTGCACATGCTGAGCTGCATTTGCGTCAGAACCAACATTTATCAACGATGTCCGTTGAGATACATAACTGATATCCATGCCAAGTCACGCAAAATAAGTATTGATATCACAAATTATTCATTTCAACCGTTTCAGGCGTGGGCGTCAAAATGGCCGCCTAAAAATCGTGCGGATACGGCTAGTAAAATGCTTGTAATCAGCACACTCATCACAAGAAAACACAAAGAAATCGACATATCAAGGTCAACAGGTGTAGCAATGGTTGTATACCGTTGTTTGACCAGTGACTCGTGGAACGTTGAAGGTCGGTGGCTCAGGATTAACTCGAGACCAAAATGCCTAAAACTCAGGAGCTGAGGGCCTTTCTTCCTTATAACTAGTTCTGAAATCCGTGTGGTCGATTTATGCAGAGTGCAATGCGTGACGAGGTTTATCGATAATGGTTTGTTTTTGTCTCTAGAATGAACAATAAATAAACTAGGAAATTTCTATCATCTGGCGTTCTAGGAGTGGCAGGGGCGCGAGAAATTGGTGGACAGGGGGGAGGTACTCCCGCAACTTTCTGAAATTTAACATTGGCTCCATGGACGTTGACTGGAAAAAATAACCAAAAGTGGTTATCGTCAGCTTCCTCAACTGAAGGGAGGGGGGGGGGGGACATTCATTGTCTCCGAGCTTAATAGAGTCCAGAATGTGTCACAACTGTTTCAGCTAGGTGCGGCACCCGGCAAAGCTCGGCAATGTGAACACGTGCTCTGAGAGACAACACCTGCCTCCAGTCCGTCATACCAAGGTCCGGAGCAGCATACTAGGCCTCTATGGGTACCAT